TAAATAACATAGTGAAAATAAATATATTGCTATGCTCAGTACAGCAGCATCCAACCGTCTCTAATCATAAAAAAACATAAGAAAAATAAATGTATTGCAATGCTCAAAACAGCAGCATCCAACAGTCTCTAATCCTTGGATATTACATGTCACTGCATGCATGCACGGAGCAGCTGTAGCGCGGAGATCATCATATCATTCTGTCTTGTATTACTTAAAAAAAAAAAAAAATTTAAAATTAAAAAAAAAAAAAAAAAAAAACGGCTCGTTCGCGGGCGCGAGCCGGCTCCCGTCGTTCACTTAAAAGAGCCGGCTCTTTGAGCCGGCTCGTTCGCGACCGACACATCACTAATAACAAGATCGCAAGGACACTGGTAGCGATCGGACAATTGAGTGTTGTTCAGTTTGTGTGTTGTGGAACATACGTGTCCGTGCACGAAAATATACCACACACCCAATTACAATAGCATGTTCAATTCACTACCCTGGAAGTTAATAAAGTTGTTAAAGTTGGAACAGCCTGTGGACAGCCGTTCTTCCTTGCATGTCAGTCGCCGACACCTTCTTACAGAGGACAGGCAAATCTAGCTGCAGCACGACCCGTATATTTTCGCACGCCGTGTTCTCAACACATATTTTTAATTTTTTTTTAACATTTTCAACATCGTTGATACATCCTTATATGTTCCCGGCAACACACTGAACGTCAATTTTGCCTCCTTATTACACTCACCCCTACTTTAGTGGGAACAATGAGTCTGCACACAGGAATAAACGCAGATCATACTCTGCACTTGATTTTGATCAAAGTCCATGCGGAAAACCCGCACTCACACAGGTGGGTGGAGGTGAAGGGAATGAGCACTTTTACAGCCTTTTTGGCGAGGTGGGGGAACTCGGTCTCCACAGACAGCCAAAAGTGGGCAAGTGTCACTTTTCTCATCTTTTCTCGTTATTTTTTGTCTCACGCTGCGCCTCCCCTGAAGCTCTCTGGCGCCCCCCAGGGGAGGCGCGCCTCACACTTTGAAAACCGCTGCTCTAAAACATAGGTGTAAATAGTACAGGTTTTATTGAAACTGGAACCTTAATTCAAAGTACAGTATACAAATCATCAAATCATTCTGTGAGAGGTCAAGTATATAGATACTAAAATAGAATGTTAAATGTCAGGTTCCTCAGAAACGTTAGGGGACACGTTTTGACATTCTGCACAGCAGGTGCAGAACTCCGTACAGGGAGAGAGGCACTGGCACTTTCCACTCTCTCCACACTTTGCATCTTTGCAATACAAGTGAGTAATGTGTCTCACTTCTGTAGATGCTGGGGGTTTTGTAAATAACACTGATTGAATGGCCCCATCTCTGACAATCCACCCCTTGACAATAGGACTCCATAACAAGGGTTTGGGTTCGGGCTGTGACACCATATCGCTGTCTGAAACATTGCTCTTTGTACATGTTGTTGAAATGCATCCTCTGTTGGCGGCAGATTTACCGAGGCTGCATCTGTTGTTGATGCAATTATGAACCTCAGTCCATTTTCCATATAGCAGAAGCGCACATTTTCTTGCGACTGACAAAGACTCTTCCAAGCTGGCAGAGTCCAAAATGGGCCAGATCTTTGAGCTCGCTGAGGGGTCTTGAGTTTTGTGAATGCTGTTGTCTTTCCTATTCTGTACAAACTACTTGTTGTGTCACAGCCAGTGAGTGCATGACAGTTAGACATGTCTTTTCCAATTCTCTCACATATGGTGTTGATGGGGACATATCTCTCTCATTCCATGGCCTGCATGCATGTACACTAGAGATGAACCAAACATGTATTTAATTGCATAATATATGAGCAGTACTTCCACATCTGTGTCATCAGACCTCACAATGATGCGGGAATATGAGTCTGCAAGATGTACTGTATGGCATCACAGCAGGCTCTGTTTTTCCTGGCGTCCTGATACGTGTCTAATACTTTTTCAAAGCTAACTATAAAAACCTCCAAAGCATTATTCTTTAGCTCGACAGCTTCCTCCCCTGATACTGTCCAGCAGTTGGAGTTATAGGGCTGAAACTAAGACAGACAACAACAATCTTCTGGCCACGACAACAGAAAGAGAAAGAGCCCTGCCTCTATCTGGAAGATGTGATTGTGAATAGGTGTAATGTGTAGTGTTCATCTGAACTATAGGCAGGCTCTTCCAGCTTTATAGGATGAAGTGTTAGTCTTAATCTTCAGTTTTAGAAGCACAATAAAAATGCTTTCACTTAGTTTTAAAGTTTTAGTCCTGCGTCAAATGTACTTTTTTTAGTCATCAACACAGACATTTGTATTGATCTTGTCCAAGATGAAGGGTGTTACTTATCTGGAGAATGATGCACTTGCACGCTAACATTGCTTGTTATTATATTGCATTGCACCGCAGCAAAACTGGAGCTAGCTTGATCTTTTGTGAAGGGAAAACCCAGTTCTTCTATTTGCTGAAGTTCTCTGTATTTGCACTTCTACTGCCATCAACAGGTTGGTCTTATTCAAATGCATGAGGGTTTATTTTACATTGTGCTAATTAGAGCCCTGCATAGGCAAATACCTCCAGCCCTAACCTGAGTTGTGTTCAAGTGCCATGCCACAGCCTGGCAGTCTGACATTTTTCAGCACGGCAAGAGATTTCTACCAATCCCTTCAGATTCTCTCCAATACAAACAAAACACAGAAATGCTAGTAAATGCTACTCAGTGATTGTGTTATGTCAAATGTTTGTTTTTCATGTATTGTGTCTTGATATTTGTCTATGTTGATGTTACACATGGAGCTGCTGTGATGCAAGTCAAATTTCAGACATGATCTGACCATTAAAGTATTATCGTATCGTAAAAACTACATTTATTATATTCCTCAGAGAGAACTACCAGTGCCACAGGCCATCATTCCCACAATAAAGAATATAGAAGCAAAGGAAAAACTAAGAATAGTCCGAGCTCGGCCTGTTTCTCCTCAGCGTGCCTCGGCCTGTTGAATCCAGACAGTTTTCACACCTCTTGTACTAATGTCAGTATGAACACGCTCCTAACGGGGCCCATGGGTGCAGGCCGCCCACCAGAGGCCTGTCTGTGAGCCGCTCCCCTCCCAGGGGTCCGTGTTTACTTTGCTCATTCATAAAGACACTGTTGTAAGAGGGCTTTGACTTGTTAGTCGGTCGCTCACATGGGACCGCCTGTCTTTGGAGATCCTAATGGAGTCATTAGACCTGGAAACACAGCATGCAGGGTCAGGCAGCAACAAGGTGGGGAGGGTCACATCGTCCAGTTTCTAAAAGACTATGGATATGAAAAATCTGTGTGGATTCCAAAATGTAAGGTCACCTATTATGCAAAATCCACTTGTTCATGTCTTTTCTACATCAACATGTGTCCCCTCTTCTTCATGTCTCTTCTACATCAACATGTGTCCCCTCTGTGGAAAGAGATTCTGAAAGTTTCAGGAAAAAAGATTCTCTCTTTTTGTCCTGATCCATATAAAAACCTGTCTGAAAATGAGCTGATCAGATTTTGGTCACTTGATGTCATAACGATGTGTTGGCTTGTGTAACCATTAACCAATAACCAACCAAGGTAACCCCCCCCCCACCTTATCACCTGATTCTCCTCCTAGAGCACCATTGTGTTCTTTTTAACCAAATATCTCTCATGCGGCTTTCACACCAGCGCTTTTCCCTTTCAAGCTCCGAGCTAGAGCTTTTCTGCTCCCGCTCTGTTCACACCACTCAGAGCCGGGATGGTGGTGCCGCTGCTGCGTCATGACGTCACCGTTTACATCGCTGATTTGCTCCCCAACGGAGCTCACAACAACAATAACGGGGGACTGCGTCGGGTCGATGATCGTGTTGCTTTTAATCATACGAAGCCAGATTAAATTAAATAACGACTTCTCCAACCTTATACTTTTCTCCAGAGTGCCGTGGTTCATTGTTTATTAATGTGTTTCAGCGGCATTTACCGACCGCTGCAGTGCTGGCCGGCTGCTCTTCCACGAGAGTTTATTCTCCCGTTAGCTCCGGGTTAGCTCACACGGCTCTAAAGTATTCACTGTCTGACTGTCACACAAGCAGCTGATACATATCCCCAGTTCCCCTTAAGTGAATGTGTGTCAGTCTGAATTGACGCTGTTTGGCATCACAACGCTGTTATGAAAGTTTCTCTGGTATAACATGGGTGATGTTAGCATAGCAACCGAAGCTAAACTGACTACTTGCTAAGCCGTTTTCTACAGGCACTTTTTACCGGCGTATTTTTCATTATGATTCTACTTGTGATAGTCGGACATGACAACCTGTGCAGCCCATGTATTGATTCCAGCCGATAGCTGCTATAATAACAAACAAAACGTCTGCCTGCTCTCCACAATGATCAATAACAGCGAACGGATGGTCAAAGTAAGGTACAAATAAACAGAATCACACGAAGCCTGGTTAGTGTTGCCTGACTTTATAAAGCGTGTTTTTTTTTTATAAGTGTGTGGTTGCCTTCTAGTCACTTTGCTCAGCGCTACTGCTTGTAGGCAGGCATGACGAGACTCTTCAGTCGACCCATGTTCAGGGGAGGTGGGTTTAGTTTCCTGCACGCCTCGACGTAAGAGAGACGTAAGCGACGCCGCCTCTAGCTCCGAAGCTCTTGCCTCTAGACCGACAATTTTTTGGAGCTGGAAACGAACTGGATTCCGGAGCTATGAGGCGGCGCCGCTGCGGTGTGAACAGGAAAAACCGGTACTTTTCAGGCTCCAGCTCCGAGCCGGCGCTGAAAACTCGTTGGTGTGAAAGGGGCATCAGAGGGGCTCCTTATTTTTCATCTAAAGTAACAGACAGAGAATCAGCACTTTTGAAACAGGGCTGAAACAGAGGGGATTATGGGATGCTGCAATGATCTGTTTGGTGTTTGGAGCCAAACACTTCAGAGACATGTTCTGTATATATCTGAGACCTATAATATATTGATGAAAAACAGTATATAGGGGACCTTTAAGTCGAATTTGCTTTATTGATACAATTTCAAAGGTAAAACAGTAAGGATACACTCTCTGTATCGTACGAGGAGGAGAATAGCACTAAAAGCTACAGGGTATCACACACCAGCAGAATGAGAACATACTGTATGTAATGCGCTGCTTATATGAAACACTCTTGATACATCACCTCGAGGTGAGAGCTGCAGGGTGTGCAAAAGATGTGCCGTGTTGTGAAAACGAACGAGTAAAGAAAAACAAGGACAGTATGTGGCGTGTACAGGAGGATATGTTTTCTCTTGAGACATATGGCTGCACCAGCTGGAGTCCTTATATTGTTGCTGTGATAAGTGGCTTTATTCTCGCCTCGCTTCCTTTTGTTTCTCACTTTTATTGGATTGCTCCCCAGCTTCCTCTTCACCCCAATGTTTATTTCTGCCATGTCGTCTTATTGCAGACGAGAGAAATTTCCCCTCATCTTATCTGGTGTTATTACTCACACCGACACACACTGTCGCTAACTCAATTCAAACACAGGAGGAATTCATAATTCATTCAAATCTAATTCATATCCAAAGACTTGTTTCTGCGTTATATAGGTTACAACAGTATGCACAAATACATGCATTTTCAGGGAGCTTCAACACATTTTTACATTTCAAACAATTAGACATTTTAAATGGACTACTTATCACAGTCAAATTGTAGGCCAACAGTTGAATAGGAGAAAAGGTTAACTCTTGTCTCATTAGTTTCATTTCACCTCCACCCTTATTGTCTCTTGTAGTAGAAAAAACCTTAAACAATCTTTGTACAACCTTAAGGAGGCCAAAAGATAGAAGACACAAAATACAGCATAACAAATTTAAGTCTGAGTTTGTTTAAGACCATGCACAATCCAGAAACCCACACACACACACACACGTTTCTCCACACTGTGGTTATTTAACTTGGTGTGAAGTTTACATCAAAGTCCCAAAGCAAAAACAAAAAAAAGCTTTACATCCAAACATCAGTAGCGTCTGTGTCATCATATTCATGTCCTGTTAAAAAGAAAATGTAACTCAAAAGGTTCATTGATGAAATATTCAGCGTACAAATAGGGAAGGTGTTTTCTTAGCGTTTCTGAAAACAAGATGGAAGTCATCAAACAAAACCTCCACATCACAGCCGACTGCACGATGTCAGAGCGGTGGAGAAAACACCCGTGAATATCATACGAGATGGAGAAAAACAAAGTCATCCCGTGTTATATGTATGTTCGCAGCCCCGTGTCTGAGTGGAGTTACTTCAGATGGTGGTCTGTCGACTGAAGAGGTCAAGGGTCACGGCAGAGAGGAACGCCGGGATGCTCTTCTGGTGATGAAGGTGAAGAGCCATCATCTCTCCCAGAGTTTTGGAGAACACCGTCTCCATGAGCTGCATGCTCCCATTGGATCCCTGCACACACACACACAAACACACACACACATCAAAAGACAATACACACAATATCAAACAATAAGAACCTGGGGTTTCCCACAAATTCCATCTCCAGAGAAAAACTTTCAAAGTGAAGTGAGATCACTTAAAAGTATATATGTTTTTGTCTACAGGGGATTGTCAAAGAGAGTGTGTGTGTGTGTGTGTGTGTGTGCATTCACAGCAGGGTGAAGGTGTCTAAATCTGTGTGGATTAATTAAAAGGAATGAGGAGCAGCTCGGGGCGATGATGTGAAGGAGAGAGGAATGAGAGAACCGAGGGATAAAGTAATTAAAGCGTTGGAGGAAGGCAGCGAGGAGACGAGTCCCACGACATGCAGGGGAGATATGGAGACGTCTGAGAAATGTCCTGTGTCAATGTGTGTGAGATACACAGATCTGTGTGTGGATCATGAGAAGGATTATAACACACGTGAAGGGAATACCCAGGAAATAAATTAAAGTTCTCCTATTATGCAAAATCCACTTTCTCATGTCTCTTCTACATCAACATGTGTCCCCTCTGTGGAAAGAGACTCTGAAAGTTTCAGGAACAAAGATTCTCTCACTTTTTGTCCTGATCCATTTATATAAAAACCTGTCTGAAAATGAGCTGATCAGATTGTGGCCACGTTATGATGTCATAACGATTTGTTGGCTTGTGTAACCGTTAGCCAATCACCAACCAAGGTAACCCCCCCACCACCACATCATCACCTGAATCTCCTCCTAGAGCACCATTGTGTTCTTTGTAACCAAATATCTCTCAGAGGGGCGTGGGGAGGGGCTCCTTATTTTCATCTAAAGTAACAGACAGAGAATCAGCACTTTTGAAACAGGGCTGAAACAGAGGGGATTATGGGATGCTGCAATGATCTGTTTGGTGTTTGGAGCCAAACACTTCAGAGACATGTTCTGTATATATCTGAGACCTGTAATATATTGATGAAAAACAGTATAATAGGGGACCTTTAAAAAAGAACATCCAGAGGGCAAAATCACAGAGATTTAATACGCCATTAATATAATTTCCCACATGGACACTTTATTTACTGAATGTCCAACTCAGTAAATGTTCACCCACCCAAGTGAGATTTGGAGCTAAATAACTTATGATTTAAAAAATAATAATCCCCCATGAGCTCCGCATTATTATTTTCAAAATTGACTTCAGCAACACGACATTGGAAAGTAAAAAAAAAAAAAAAGGGGTAGAAAGTAAATCCTACTTGATAAACCAATTAGTGTGCCTCCTCACACACAACAGGCGGAGGTGAGCTCAGCTGTTCTCTTTTCTCTGTGAACGGAGACAAATCTCTCCGGGGTGAGAGAGAGGATAACTGAACTAATGACATTTGCTAGCTCACTGCGCAGCGCTGAACCAAAGATACATGTAGAGTGGAGAGACACTGAAGGAATAACTTGCTTTTTCAATGTTTTTCTTTAAACAAATGTACAATAAATGCTCCAGAGTTGAGCAATGATGACGTGTTTTCGTAGGTCAACCTAGAAGTAGGTACCGCACTGGTTTCCTTGAGAAACACTCAATGGGCTTTTTGGATTATTGATGAAAATAAGCTCCGTTACAAACTTTTAAGATATCAAAGAGATGTTTGTTCAGTAAGATAAACATTAATCAGAAATACTCCTTTCTCTATTTGTCTCACAGCGGGTACATTTGCATTGTTACAGCAAAAGGGAGAGTGTAGATACAAGACAAAATACAAAGATATTCCCATATTAACATCACTTTTGTGAGTTATTTCTGAGTAAAATGCAATCACCAGAAGTAAATAGCCAATGTGTTGCCATACCAAACAATAATCACATGACACGTAACCATCGCTAAGTTAAAGGTGGACTCGTGTTTGACGTGATGATAGTTTTATTAGCTACTTAATCGTTGCTTATATGACACAAAGAAGATCTACTGACCAATTTTATGTTGTGGAAAATGATGTTACCAAATACCAGTGGCGAACCGCCAGGGCCTTCAAGGTATTCAGAGAATACCCTGGAACACTCAGATAAAACAAACAAACAAATCGATTTAATTATATAAATAAAATGTATTAAAATTAATAAATGAGAATCGTATCTGTGTTGTTGATCTGTAATATTACAGTGTTACGTTGATTTGTTTGTCCTTCTCGGTCCATGCACTACGCATTTCAGTGGTTTTGTGTTAGAAAAAAAAACCAACCAATCAGATCTGTTTCTGGGTCTCTGGGTAGAATATCCTTCAACCAAGGTATTCTATATCCTTGATAGAATACCCCGGCCGTTGCACTGAATGAGAGCGTACCTTTGGACTGACAGTTTGATCAACCAATCATATATTGATTTGTAGCCAATGGGCGTATTCTTTCAGAGTTTCCCTCGGTTCCAGGGTCCTCTAGATTAGAAGGCCCGGTAGTTCACTGGCTCGAGACACAGGATCTAGATGAATGCCACGAAGCAATTCATATGCCGTTTTATTGTTTTTAACGTTGAAATGGCAAGTGCAACAGGTGTAGATGAGGTTGTTGCGGAATTGTTTTGAGTACCCTTTTAAAGATGACAATTCAGTGAAAAGACGGACATTATAACAGCACAGGGGGGGGGGGAGGGTGTGCGTGTGTCTACAGAAGGTCCAGTTGTGATAGAAACGCTTCGCCACTGCCAAATACCCTGTTTCAGTCATCAGACCAATACACATTTCAAAACCCATTGACTTTGAGACAAGGGAACTGAAAGTGCTGAAATGCTAACTCATTATTGGGTTTGAGGATTTATTTCTGCACCACTCTGGAGTGAATGCTGAGTAGAAACTACAATGCTGCTTAATTCAGTTTAAATTGGGGATTCATTTAATGCAGTGATGATTTTGTTTTTAATCTCCACTTCAAAAGACTTAATTGGGTGTATTTTTTTGAATTTGCATTAAATGAGAGTTGTTTAATTCTGCTTCGATGTCTTCCAGAGTAATTTATGACTTAAATTAACACTTTATCAAACTATCAATTGATTATACTTCCGGTCTACTTAATTACACCAGCTGCTTCTTTCGTTGCTGCTTCTTTCGTTAAAATCAAATATTTATACCTTATACTCCAATACCAAAGTACACGGCAACATCACATTCACTCTCATGAGGGCCAGGCAACCACCGTCAAGACATATTTATACAAAAAACCCCAAAACATCAATATTCAGAGGTGTGGGAGATCTGTGCTGAATGTCCCTTTTTCCTAATGTATATGGAAAGTGTTGAAGCTATTCATAAATAAGTTGTTCTTTAATAACATTCATTTTCTTCATACGGCCAAACAAGTCTTATGACCCTGTTGACTCTTCTTCTTTCTGTTGGCAATTGGCTCTTTGTGATGGAGAGAGGAAATGAAGGAGGGAGGAGGATGACATGCAACGAAGGTCTGCAGGAGGATTTGTTGCGGTTTCGTGGTAAGCACCTTAGACCTCCAGGCCACCGTGACACACGACCAGGGTGCTGCTTCAACATGAAATGTGTATTCCTGTCTTTAATTGGCTCATTATCAAAAAGTTAGGAAATCATTTCTCATTTAAAGAGAAGTTGCTTCCTCTGGTTTAGTTGTGTGAACAGACGGTGATGTCATAACAAAAAAATCTACCATTATGTTTTGGGAACTCAAAGAAACTACATGTCCCATAATGCAACATTTCCCCAATAATCTGCTTTATACATGTGAGTATAACCACTTTGACTTTAGTAGTGACTTTCTTAATACATCTATTGCAACCATTTAATACCTGCTGCAACATCCTGGTACTTCTGTGTAAATCTGTAGAACCTTTGCTCAGGTGTGTGTGTGTGTGTGTGTGTGTGTATGTGTGTGTGTGTTTCTGTGTGTGTGTGTGTTCTTCATTTTAAAAAACACATGCAAAGTATATACAGTACTAAGTGGTAGAATGTAGCTAAGCACAGTTTATTAAGTGTTGTTCTTAATTGCAAATTTGAGGTACTTGTACTTTGCTTGCATATTTTCTTTTAGTGCCACTTTATACTTCCACTCCGCCCTTGAGTTCATAATTCACGGTTTTTATTTTAGCGCTTTTCCAAGTGCTCAAAGCGCTTTACATTACATACTTTATATATATATATATATATATATAAGACATGTAATACATTGAATACTGTGGACAATACCCACTGGAACAATTTAGGGTGACGTGTCTTTCCCAAGGACACAACGGCACGACTGCTGACTGCAGTGGCGTCAAGGTGGGATTGAACCTGTGCTTCCCTAAAATGAAACTAAACCACTGCGTCCAAGTGACTTTAATAAGTACGATTTTCGGATTAAAAAGATGTTTAAAAAATATGATGTTTTGAGAGTTTAAAATGATGTTTTGTTATAAATCAAACGAGCCAACAGTTCATACAACAACCGCTTTTTGAGAGTTTGAGAGAAAATGAATTGGCATCTTTGAAAATGTGGGTTTTTCTAATTTCATTTGAATACTTTTGAGTTTGTATGTGAATTTCCCCATTTAGTACTTGACCTACATTCTGCTTATTATACTTGCTTTAAGTCAACACTTGTAACGGAGTATTTTTACACTGTTGTATTAGTTATTTCACATCTGAATTCTTCTTCCATCTCTGTGCGTACTACATATTTTTCTGGCGTACTAAACAGTATGTAAGTTTGTGTGTTGAACAAATTCAAGGTCTTGTTTTCTTTCTAAAATCAATCTTCCCTTTGCTGCCGTGGACACTGCAGCGCGGCTTCTCTAATCACACCGGCTTTCTCCTGACTCTCTCCATCTCATCGCCTCACTCTGCAGCTTTATTTCACTGACGCTCCCTGGTGTGTTCCCTCTGAAAGCTCTGCCATATCCTCAGGCTGCTGCTCGCATCACACACACACACAAGTGTTTGCACACGTCTCTACGAACGGCCGTGACTCTGGTAACATGGAACACATACATCGAAGGAAAACTCTGCGGCCAGTTACCATG